ATGAGATAAACGAATCAATAATTTTCATAATCAATTATTCAAATGAAAACCACCCAAGGTGAACCCATTTCCAACGATTAATTTTGGATAAAATTGAATTGACAATATGTCGAACAGTTTGTATGCTATCAATTTATTGAACACTTGGCGTGCAAAACACTCCAAGACAATTTCCTTTGATTTGTAGTGCAGATTTTTTCACAACTTGCAATCAAAGTGATTGCAATGGTTTTTCACAACAGTTTTTAACACTACAAATTAATCAAAATATTTCAGACAGTTGATCATACACAAACTTCAACAATGTAAAGTAAAGAGATAGATAGAGAGAGAGAGAGAGAGAGAGAGAGAGAGAGAGAGAGAGAGAGAGAGTGAGGAGGGAGAACGACACCTGATTTGTTTAGGCAATTCACCTTTTGTCCTCGCTTCGGGTACGTCTGCCCCCAATTCTAAAATTAGATTTGAGATATCTATAATATCTGTTGCAAAATTCAATTACAAGAGAAGTTCTAGCTACCACATAATCAAGTGCATCAAACGCTTCGAACAAACCTCTGGTTACCGCTACTAACTTGACAAAACCTTCTGTTCTTCAAGTCTTTTACTCGGCTGATTTCGATTGCAAGTTGTTTGACCCCAAATCTTTCAATATAATCCTTTGGTTACCGTTACTCACTTGATCGAACCCAATGTTCTTCAAGTCTTTCACTCGGCTGAATCTGTAATGCAAAGATTTGTGCAAAAACTCCCAAATCCCTCAAGATCTTGGAGGACAAAACCCCAATGGTTTATTTAAGAAAATTTCACTAAATATCAACCCATACTCGATTAATAAATCATAAGTTTGGACGTTATCACCTTGACAAAGCACATACCAACAAAGATAATTATATGTGGTTGTTGATGAATGCAAGTATGAGAGTGAAAATTAAGAGTAAATCAATGTATCTTTCAATTTTTTTTGTAAATGATGCATATGAGAATGAAAGAAAAATAGAAAAAACTGACTTTGGAATCACAAAGATGCAGAAAAATGAGTTAAAATGCGCAAGAGGTCGACCTACACAGACTGTGAGTCGACCTAAACAGGTCAGAAAGCAAACCTGGGAACAAAATAAGACTGTGCGTTGACCTGCACCCGGACCATGCGTCAACGCATGAATACCAGAAAGTTACAAGTTTATTTCATACAATATGCATCGACCTACACAGTAATTGTGTGTCGATGCAAGCATGCCAGAATGTCTCAAACACCATTTTTCATGATTGTGAGTCGACCTATACCTTGTATGTGTCGTCGACCTAATGCATCAAAATTGACTTAAAACACATTTTAGACATAAAGTATGATCCTATATTCCTAGATTCATGTATATGGATCATTATGTGCGTTTGGAAAAGATGAATGCATTGCTTATGCAAGGAGATACCGTCCAAAGTACACAAGTACAAAATTTTCTAGTTTTGACATCATTAAAACAAAGTAATAAAGAAACCTTGACCTCACATCCTTTATCTCCTCTGTCTGGTTTGCCTCCTCGCCCATCAATCCCCCCTCGCCTCGTCCTCATGTAATGTATGCGGTACAAAAGTGCCCCACGTGCCTCCGCAACAATGTCATCTAGTACTTGTCTGACAGCAGACCCCTTAGGGAAGATACTCTCGTCAATGTCTGCCTGCGCCATCTCCATTATATGCCAATACTGAGGCAAGACATCCTCGATATGATATAGCTGAGTCTGCTCCTCCTCTAGAATCTCCTGATGAGCTGGTCTAGGCGGATCCCCTGGAGCAGTCGGTACCATGTACGGATGTGAGACCTTGAAGAACCACTTGATGTATTTGTCGACATAGCTCAAGTAGTTCAGCGCTATGGAAGCTCGAGCTTCATCTGATACCAGATGACTTTGATAATCAGTAAACATCTCCTCTATCTATATACGAGTAAAGGCGGGAGGAACTGAGACAACAGGGTGTTTGGGAATGGTTTGAGTGTACCCAAACTGCCGCATGGCGCGCTTGCGCAGATGTGGAGCAGTGATACACGGTCCGCAGGCCAATCATTTAGAGTATAGAGACATGTCATCAAATGGTTGTGTCTCACGGTGATCCATGTAGCAGTTGAAGTGTATGTCCTCAGCAGCCAAGCGGTCAAGATAGACTTTGAAAGGATCGACCACCTGGTTCCCTCTCAGCGGGATAAAAGCACAAGCATAGAGCATCTTCTCAATGTACTCACCCCAATTCGCCCAGCCAACGATGCGCAGAAAGTGCTGGAAGATCCAAGTCTGAAATGAAAATAAAAATAAAAAAAACATCCAGGGATCAATTTTGCAAATAAGAAATGAAAAATATAATATAAAAAAACATTCAAGGATCAAGATAAAAAATTATTACCGCCAGTAGTGTCGTGCTGCCTGTGACCTGCTTCGTCCTCCATTGACATCCACCTCTCAACTTTGAATATAAATAGGTCAGACAAGCCGCCCCCCAGTTGTACTCATGGATCCGAGTGAGATCTAAGAAGTACCAGAGGTATGCAACTTCAGTATAGGTGGAACTCGTGTCCACAAAAATGCAAGTGCTAACCAAAAAAGAGAAAATATGCTCTAAAAGCACGAGCCCTGTGTTCTGCCACCTGCTTGACATCATCATCAGCCACCTCTACAACAATGATTTCCTCATCATATCTCTCATTCAAGAACTCAAACCTAGCATGAGCATCTCTGGTCCTATCCACCTCCTCAATCGTCTTCCCTGGATCAACCCCCAAATATTCAACCATCATCTCAACTGCCTCATCTTTGGTCATCCTACCATTATGGAGGAATCTCTTCCTAATCGAAAGATGTAACAAAATTGAGAGATCGTCCAGTGTGATAGACATCTCACCATGCGGGAGATGAAAAAAAGATGTCTTAGAATGTCATATCTCCATGAATGCATTAAGCATCCCGTGGTTGACTAGAATATAACCGATCATGCATAGGTCACTTAACCCAGATAATGTCAGAACCAACTGAAACAACTCCTCATTCGGCTGAGACAATGCTAAAATCTTTCTCCCATGGTTCAGAAACTTATGGGGATCACGCGCCTGCGATTTTCCAGAAAAAATCAATGTCAGTAATAATCAATGTTAGAAATAATAAATGTCAGCAATTTAAATTAACATAACAAATAAACTAAAAATCATACTAATGCTATCTCTCAGTCCCATATATGTATGAGAGGAAGTAAGGACATATCAGATGGACCTCCTCGAATCCCTCTGGATCGGCATCAGTAACCTCACCCTTCAGAGGTGGCACCGGTGCATTAGGATCATCGGCAGGGAGGTGGTACCTGATCAGCATGAGGTGGCACTAGTGCATCCTGACGCCTGTGGGAAGATGGGGAAATTGACGCGTCAACTGGTGCATCTTGTCTCCTACAATTAGAAGAAGAATGAGGAGTGGTCTGAGATGAAAATGAAGTGGCCTGGGATGAAGGTGGAGTGACCTGAGATGAAGGTGAAGTGGCCTGAGGTGAAGGCTGAGCTCCATGAGTAGACTGTTCCATAGATGTTGCTGCCTCCGAAACCTGCTGGCTTCGTTCCAACCAAACGGATGCGTGTTCGGCAACCCGGCCATGTCTCAGTTTGTCGACTCTGTTAGCCATTATACATGTAAGGTAAAATTAAGTGTATAATTAGTTTATGCAAAAGAACAACACAAACAAGAAAATTGTTTATAAAAAAAAAAACAGACTGAGAAAATTCTGGAGATATAACTACAAAAATACCTCTTACACTATTCTGGAGATGTATCTCCAAAATTTCCAAAAGTATATGAAATGTTGAATATTTCCGGAGATATATCTTCAGAATGTTCTGAGTTTCAGAGGTCGTGATAATGGCATCCTCTCCTACTAGGATTGTGGAAGAAAACATATGATCGTACATTTGAGACAACAAACAATGCATACACTTACTTTAAACTATGTTTCATGTGATTCCTAAACATTTCCATACCTAACGATTGATTCTAACTCGTTTACAACAAAACTCAAATATTTATCAAAAACTCGAAAAACTTATCCAAAATTTATGATTTAGATGATGTTGATGAAGAAATAGATGATGTTTGATGTTTCCTTGAGTCTCTTATTCATGAAATGTGATTTGATGGAGTTGGAGAATATTAAGAATGAGAGAGTTGAAGAGTTTTGTTTGAATGAAAATGAAAAGTGTGGGAGGAGAATAGTCTGACGCGTTATTAACCTCCAAAATGTTCTAGAGATATATCTCCGAAATATTTTAATGTTCACTTGAGTTTTAGTGCTTCCGAAGATATATCTCCGAAATATTTCAATGTTCACTTAAATTTTGTTACGTCCAGAGATATATTTATAAAATCAAGTACATATGTGAAAATTCACATGGTATGAAAGAAGTTTATTGAGTGCAATAAAAAATGGTCTAATTTTTTTAACCCATATTATATGAGGACTTCTTTTGCCCAACTCTAAAAATTCAAAGGTCCATCAAAATAGGTCCATCAAAGTCGGTCCGTTTAAAACTGATAGTCCATTTTAAATACCCTACTCTTCATGGACCAAAGGCAAATTTGATAATGAATAACATGTAAAATAGTTATAAAAACAGCACATAGTGCATAAGTATCTCAAACTCAATATATGTAATTCATTGATTGTTTTCAATTTTAAAAATAAGTATGACATTGCCAAGTTTCACTAAATGCATATATGCCAATCAAATTTTATATAAAAATTGAAAATAAAATATTCTTTTTGACACATTAAAAATAAAAAGTTAACATACAAATATACATCAAACTAACGTAACTCTGACCTATTGTAATAAAAAGAGACAAAATTTACATAACAACTCAACTAGGGCTTTCTGTGTTTGGAACCATGGCATCATTCAATTTCTGTCACTATATCAGAATTACTCTCATAAGGTTTTTAGCTACACAGTACAATTCTTCTGCCAATAATTACCAATAATCACCACAGGAACAAACTCCATCTCTAAAACAGTGGAACCTATTCACATCTCTAAGAAGAATCTCTCTGTTAACAAATTTCGAAACAAACTTCATAAAACCATGACAGTCTTCACACAATCTCAAGTTGTTTGTAATCCTAATGATTTCACCTTTTGAAGTATTAATGAGTCCAAATGCGACAGCAAGCTTTCGACTATGTCCTAATAAAATGACTTCTTTCTCTTCTTCGTCAAGATCGTAGTTAACAACATTTGTCTGTGGGACGTAACCCTGATTCTTGATCTCGGTTAATAATGTAGTTAGGAAAACACGAAGATCTTCAATCTGTGGGTTGTACTCTTCAACGGAGACAAGTGAGTATATCTTCCTTTTGACTTCAATCCAGCTGTAACTCGGAATCTTTTGCAGGCCGCGAGATTCCAATTGTTTTCTTACACGCCGAACGTCATTCCACATCCTAGATTTTGCATAAACATCTGATAAAAGCACGTAATTTCCGGCATTCATAGGCTCCAATTTAAAAAGCATAGAGCTCGCTCTCTCGGCGAGCTTGACATTACAGTGAATCCTACAAGATCCAAGCAGGGAACCCCAAACCGTAGGTCCTGGTTTGAAATCCATATTTTCGATTAGTTTCATTGCTTCATCTAACCTATTAGCTCGGCCAAGAAGATCCACTATACAAGCATAATGTTCCATACTTGGTTGGATTTTGTACTTATTAAGCATAGATTCAAACAAAATCTTTCCCTCTTCAACAAGGCCGGCGTGGCTGCAAGCACACAAAACAGTAATAAACGAAATGTAGCTCGGCAAAACTCCTTGGTGGATCATATTTTCAAAAATCTGGATGGCTTTCTTTCCAAAACCATGCATACCATAAATAGAAATCAGAGAATTCCACGAAACAACATCACGGTTCTTCATATAATCAAACACTCGTTGTCCCGTCGAAATCTCACCACATCTTCCATACATTGTTATAAGTGTGTTAAGAACCGGAAGAATAGAATCAAGACCCCTTCGTAGGACATAGCCATGAACCAACTTTCCATTTTCCAATGCAGCAAGACTTGCACAAGCTTGAAGCACACTCACCATAGTAACTGGATTCGGAACCAAATCACACGCCTCAAGCATCATTGCCTGAAAAAGTTCCAACGCTTTCACAGGCATTTCATTCTTCGCATAACACGCAATCATCGCACTCCACGAGACAACATTCTTTACAGGCATCGCACCAAACACAGAACTTGCATACGATATACAACCAAACTTAGCATACACATCCAACAAAGTCGTCATAACATGAACATGCCCTTCATAGCCATGTCGCAGAATATGAGCATGAATCTCCTTACCCTTCCGAAGAGGACAAATTGACATCTCCGAAACAACACAACCTTTAAGAACATAAGTATAGGTAAACCTATTCGACTTTACCCCAATCCAATTCATCTGACAATACAATTCCAACAACTTCTCCCCGCAACCCACCTTTGCCAATGCACGAAACACCGCATTCCAAACAAAAATAGTCTTGTCTTGCGTTCCATCAAACACCTTACAAGCATAATGAACCGACCCTAAATCACAATACATATTAATAAGTTTAGTAGCCAAAAACGGATCTTGTTCAAAACCACAGCCAACGAGCCGCCTATGAACATCGAACCCATCCGAAAGAGAATTCTGTTCCACGCAAGAGCATATCAAAAGCTCGAAACTCTTTTGAGTCGGGTTCGCCTCGCAACACAACAGCTCAAGAGCTTGTTTAAGATTGCCACCTCTACATAATGACTGAATCATGTTGTTATTGTTGTTACCAACGCTCTTGATGTCATTTGCAGGATTACATGAAGAATTGAATGAAACTAAACATAGTGGTAATCTTGAAGATATATGAGAAGTGTATAAACATGGTTGAGTTTGAAAAGGACCATGTCTTACAAGTTGGGGCACTTGAAGCACCCTCATGAGATATGTACCAATGCTTGTTCTGTATAGGTTAATCAGTGTTTCTGAAAGTTTACAGTCACATATGCGTTCAAAACTGTGGTATTAGAATTACCTGTTGCAGATGAAGAGAGTAGAAGAAGAGGGATGGTGAAGAGGAAATGAAAAATAAGAATACGAAGCAGCGGCGTGGTTCTAGGGTGGAGCATTGGGCGGGTTCAGCCGGCAATTCATTTTTGCGGAGATACGGCGGCAAGGAGAGGGATGTTTTTGAGAGGATATAATATAACGATGTTAGTGGAGCATAGAACTCAAAGGAATGGATTGTGATATACTTACTGGTCACAAGAATGACGGACTCATGTTACAAGTTTAATTAGTAGCCTACGGTTGTAAGACATATATATTTATAAGATATTTTCTCAAATACATGACATATAATTAAAAACAATAAAAATAAATAATAATACATAATTAATCAAATTTAAATTTTGTCATCTTCATGTCCAAAATGTTCTCTAATGTATTCGATTAGGTCTCTTTGAAGTTGACGATGAACTTGTTTTTCACAAAGACTTGCTCTTCTTTGTAGTCTTGTTACAAGGTTCGGATGAGGATCATTAGATGTTTCATTCGTTGAGTTGTTGTTATCTACATTATCATAAGAGTAATCAAAATCACCTTCATATGTGTGTCGTTCGTCTTCAACAATCATGTTGTGCAATATGATGCAAGCATATATAGTATGCTTGAGGGTTTCCATGTGCCAAGCACGCGCTGGACCACGTAAATTGCAAACCGAGATTGAAGCACTGCAAATGTTTGTTCCACATCCTTTCTAGCCGATTCTTGATGTTGTGCAAATAGTTTTCTCTTTTCTCTTTGCGGTATTGAAATGGTCTTGACAAATATAGTCCACTCATGATATATATCATCCGCTAAATAATATCCCATATTATATGGAGTCCCATTGGTTGTATATTGCACAGTGGCAACATTCCCTTCCAAAATGTTGTTAAACACGTTGGATTGGTTTAACACATTAATGTTATTATTTGAACCTGCAATACTAAAAAATGCATGTTAAATCCATAAGTCTTGTGATGCCACTGCTTCAAGCATGATCGTAGGTTTACCATGACCACCTCGACAAAATCGTCTTTCCATGCAACAAGACCATTTTTCTATTTCCAATGCATACAATCAATAGAATCTAACATGCCTGAAAATCCACGTGACCCCCCCCCCCATTTGTAAAAGATGTTCGACATCATTGTTATTAGACATTCTCAAATACTTAGCCCCAAATACCTCATTCACGCCTCTTACAAATCTCTTTAAGCACTCAACTGTAGTGCTTTCACCAATTCAAACATATTCATCTACAATATCCGTGGATGATCCATATGTCAACATACGAATAGTAGAAGTGCATTTCTGCAATGGTGAAAGACCCATTTTACCAGTTGCATCGACCCTCATTTGAAAATACTCATCATGATTTCCAAGGGTTTCTACAATTCGAGGAAACACACGCCTATGCATTCTGAACCTTCTACGGAATTGGGCATCCGTGTATACTGAATTTTTTAGAAGTAGCCATTGAATAATCGTCTATGCCCTTCTTCACGACTCTGGTCAATCACAGATCTTCTTTTTTGCCTAACGGAACTTCCAGATTGGCATTCCTTCTCTAGCATTGACAATAATAGTTCTTCATCCGTGTTGTCTATAATTTATTCTTCAATCACGTCCCAAAAAAGTTTGTTGAGGTTGCTTGAATTCATTAAAGTGATAGAATAATGATTAAAAAAATGATAGAAGAATGAGAGAATGATGGTAGAAAAATGAGAGAAGAATGAAAGTATATATATAAGTCTAGTTTGAATAACGACTAGTTTGAATATAATAATACTAGAACATTGCATCTTATTACAATAGGTGTTGATGCATAACAAGTACTACATAATATTTAAATATGTTAATACTAAGACATTGCATCTTATTACCATCCATATTTTTCTTTTAGTTTATTACCATGTTTTTCATGAAATTCACGTTGAATGTCATTCATCTTAGAAGTGTCTGACATGATGAATTGCATTGCTTCAAACTCCATCTTTTCCTTGACCAATTTGTTTTCTTCCTCCTTAAGTCGTGCTATATTTTCATTATTCCCAAATCTTTTATTCTATGTATCATGCATAACACTAGAAGGTGGTTCAGTTGCATTTGCATTTTCCTTTGCCTTACTCTTTCTTTTTGCTGCATTTTGTCGCATAGGACGCTCCATTGGAGATGATGAGATAAACTCATAACTTGAGGGTCTCTCTAAGTTAGGTGATGACGTGTATGCACCACTATCAGAATTCTTTGTTCTCTTTGAATAATTTTCGGTGGATGCCCCCATCCATTTAGGTTCATCTTTTAAAATCTGCCATGCATACTCAAGATTGAATGGTGCAGCTTCATCTTGAGCAAAAAAAACATGTATGTTGTCTAAAATATCTTTCTCTGATGCTCCACTTTTCTTTCCATTAATAGCTTGTTTGTAACACCCAACAAATTTTTGAAGAAGACTATTTATTCGATGCCATCAACATTTTAATTATCCACGTCGCTTTTCTCGCGACTGCCCATGATAATGGTTATAATTAGCGGCGATTCTTAACCAAAAACTGTCGGCTTTTTTTTTATCAACTCCCACTATTGGATCCTTTGAAACATTGAGCCATTATTGCATGGGAAGTGTATCTTCCTCCCTTGTGAATAACTATCGAGTTCTTTTTTTAACCGAATGATTTTCTTCTCCTCTAATTTGAGTTGGAAATTGTGGAACTTGACGTTCAGACATAAATTCAATCGGTGTTTCAGGTTCACGATGAGATAACTCCACCCCATGAGTATTTATTTGAGGTCTAAAATACATATTTGGGTTGTTTGGTGACAGAAAAAATATGACAGCGTTTATTGCAGATGATGGAAATTTAGAGTTGGGTGGTGATGGAAATGGAAATTGAGAATTTCGAGCATTAGGATGTTGATAATTTTGCATGAGTTGATACATAGATTGTTGAAAATTATATTGATTAGGATCCATTTGACCTAAACAATAGTGATTTTAAAGTAAATAAATAAAAATTTAGGTAAAATAATGTGTCAAATGAAGGCTAATGAGAAGAATTTGTAAGAAAACAATTGAAAATGTAAGAGTAAAGTGATGGAATTGTGAGAGAGAAATTGAAATTTTGAGAGAAAATGAAATTATGAGAGAAGACTTGTGTGTAAAAAAATTGAATTGGTCTCATTTATATACAAAATAATTGTTAAGAAATAAATTTTAAAAAAAGAAAGAAGCAAAGGTTGAGTTTCAAACGGTAACATGTTTTAATATTTTTTATTCCAATGCAACGTTGCATTTTGAAGCTACGATGCAACAACTGGCAATTTTGAAAACGGTAATATTTTTTTGGAAACATGTGTACATGTGGCGAGCTCATCTAACCATTCCCTCGTTGGAGATGGTCTTAGGTTGTTGTTAATTACTTTTGTTTTTACTGTACTATAATATCAGTTTGATATTGTACTTGAATAAATTCGTTTTTGTCTAAGAGAAGGTAAATTAAAGGGAAGCAAAACAAACTAGTTTCAGACTAGTACATAGTTTATTGTATGTCGTACAAGGTTAGGTTTTAGTCGCTCATTGGTTACAAAACTAGCTCATTGATCACAACACTCACCTCCTGTTGGGTTTGGCTAAGTTAACAATTCACCCACTTATAAAACGTGGGAAGTAAAATATCCTTATGCATTAACAATGTGAAAAGTTCAGGAAAATGGGGAGAAACTATGCTTTCTGGAATAATAGGGGAAATAATGGTTTCCACGTCCCGCGCTTCCGGGTAAAGGAGCACGATAACTACTCTCTGGGTCCAAGGATCCAGATCCAAAAAGATGCATATAAATACCTCATCTTTAAGGATGAGGAGAGGAAATCAATTATTCACCTAAAAAAACCATAAATATAAAGCTTCTCATCACTCAACATGAGTTAGCTCTGGACACCACTAATAACTCTAAATATCACATACAACCATTCATAAATAGGGTTATCCTTATTGTACATTTTTAGTAAGTACAATTGACGCCCAACGTGGAGCCCAATAAAACTAACTTGGGTCCCACTCATCACCATTTTCCAATCACCGTAGTCACCTTCTCCGACATGATGAGTGAACAGAGGACAAATGCTTTCGTCAATACCATCGCGGAAGGATTTGTCAATGGTGGAGAATCAAATTCTTCCTACCAGAAGTATACTAAAAAGATCTTTACAGAGAACACCATCTCTGCCATTCTTAAGACAAGCGTAGAGAAGGAACTAAAGTCTAAAATCGCCTTCTCTAGCAAGGATGTCGTTAACATCCTCCCTCATAACAATAATCACATGGTAATCATTATGCAATATGATAATTGGGATGTGAAATTATTGTTAATCTACCCTGAAAGCTCAATGAACATATTATTTTGGGATTCCTTTTAGGGAGCTTTGACTTAATCTAGATGACATATGGGCGTTTAAAGGTTCCTTGGTTGGCCTTACAAGCAAGTTGGTACTGGTGAAAGGCTACATAACACTTAAGACGAAGTTTGGGTTACTTGGTCAAATATTCACTAATTCAGACTACAATTCCCTAACTTTTTAGGCGATTTGGGTAGTAATATTAGGCGATCTACATGTGTTAATTCCCTAGCCACAACTTATAACTACCTATTCCTAATTAATTACTAAGTTGAAATATTACTTTATTTTCGAATGGTAGAGCTACGATCAATATGTTCGCTTTGTGAGTTCGTCAACACCCAAAAAGCAATTAGCACAAAAGCAATTAAATAGAATATATATAATTAATCCATTCAAGTAGCATCAACCAATCATATGATGCAACAAAGTAAAATTAAGTTCATCTTATAAGAACTAATCAAGAGAAATATAACTACTCATAGTTATACAAATCATT